CTTTTCTAATTAAGATTTAATGAGATATGAGTAAATCGAAGTACTATAAAAATATGTATAATAAAAAAAGGTTTATCTCTGTTATTGTTAGTTAGATAAGAATCTTCGACATTTGATATTCGAGGAAAAAAAAAAACACGTAAAATGTTTAATAACAATAATAATTTATTCCTGGGTTTTATAAAGAATCGAATCGTTAAAATTTGCCAAAAGGATAAACAAAGGTTAGAGAGGCAAGCAATGCTGCGGGCAGATAAAAATCAGCGATCTACCGTCGTAAAGACGTCGAAGTTAAGAAAGCACGTAGCACACATTCTCCTCCCACCCCACCCAACCCCATCCCACCCTCCTCCTCCTCCTCCTCCTCCTCCTCTTCTTCGTTCTGTCCCATCTCGATAGTGAACCGAAGTTACCATCATCGTACTTCCCCCTTCGATTTCTACTTCACTCTTCTCCTCGTCCCTCCCCCACCCTCCCCCTGCCACCATCATCCTCATCCTCATTTTATTCCACCACCATACCACTCCCCTTTCTTTCTTTCTTTCTTTCTTTCTTTTATTTCTCTCCTTTTTTTCTTTCCCATTTTTGTTTTCTTTTTTATTACAAAGAGGATTCGGGCTTTTGTTTCCAAAAGAGAACAGGGTTACTCGGACGATCGTAAGTTTCGTGTTCCCCCCGTTGAAAAGTTCTCCTACAGGGTCACAAATTCCCATAAGAAAGGACCCCACAGATAATTTCGCAACTAACTGTGTACCATGAAACAACGAAGCTAAGGATGCAGGGACCCAGGCAAGGGAACCCAGTAAGAGGAGAATGGGGAGGGAGAGGATAATGAGGGGGAAGAGGTAGAAGAGGAAAGGAGAGTGAAGGGGGGAGGGATCTTAAATATAGCGTCTTTGTTATACACCTTTGAACACTCACTTTGCGAAAATTTATTTCTCTGATATTGATTGATCGTGAACAGGATTGTTTTTTACGAGACAGGATTGGTAAATCGATTGGGTGGACGGTGGGGGAGGGTGTATTGTTTCATTTTATTGTTTTTTAATCTTTTTTTTAATAATTAATATTTTGAGATTGTTCAGGGTTAATTATGATTAGATTGTAATTAGAACAATTTGATTTTGAAATGAATTGTTTTACATTTAGTGATACCGTATTTGTGTCGAAGTAAATTTAAAATGAATAATTATTAATCTTATTTTTATATTTAAAACAACGAGACGACAACAACGATAATTTAAATTGATTTTTATTTGAATTTCTTTTCGATAGTTTCAGTATTAATATAATAACTGTTTAGAAAATGATTTCGTTCGAAACAAACGTAAAATTATTCTCACGTTAATTCTAAACAAAACAAAAGAAACTAAACAAAATATATAAACAAAATTCGTGAATAATAGAAATTTTCTATGAATAATTTTCATCTCAAATATATCCTACATTTTAATTACAACATATTATTAAATCGAATGAAATAAAAATTATACTTATAATTTCTATATTAACCGAAAAAGTGAAATAGTACTTCAAAAAAAAAAAAAAAAGAAGAAATATAATTCGAACTTAAACCAAAACAATTACGTACAATTAAAAATATTGAAATTTGTATAAATAGTTCTGCGATAATAAGGACACTCCTTAGTCTCGTAGAACATCCGTTCGAGACAAACATAATCTGATAATAATAATCTATTTTGTACAAGCAAACAAGCAAGCAAGCAAGTAAAGCAATTCCTTTCGATATGTGTGTCACGGTGTTAGAAATCAGATCGACGGTAAGCGTTATTTGCGTTATAAGTAAGTAAGTACCTTAATCGTTGCCATGACGGCTCGTAAATCGAAAGTGGGTAACGGTAAAGTAAAGAGAAGGTATTATATACCAAGACAGAAACGTTATCAACAGGGAGCACCTAGGTACACTGATAAATCCTCGAATAAAACAGTTTTACCTTTACGCTTGATCTATTTTATTATTCACCATCATACCGCTATAATACGCCTTTGCAAAACTCGACTAAGTTGTATGCATACACACACATGCATATGCACATGCACATGCACATGCACGTGTATGCATAAATTTCTATTTATCATCATTAATAAAATAAGATGTGTGGAAATGATTTTGAACTAAATTTATACTTATCAGTATAAACGTCGTTTATCTTCAACTATGACGGAACTAATGACGTCAATGTTAGAAAAAAAAAAAAAAGAAAAAGAACTATGATCGATAGAATAAATTCAGGATGATGACAAAAACCGTAACTGTTAATTATGAGTGAAATCTTTCTCGATTAGAGAATTAATTATAATTTTTCTGTGTTTTTTTTCTTTTTCATTTAAATTAGGATCATCCTAGTTCTCAATCATTGAAAATTATTAATTAATAAAAAAATTCAAACATATTAAAAGATTTATCATCGTTGATTAAAGAACAAAAATGTAAATAAAATATGACAAATGAAATACCTGATGTATTATTAAAAATGAATAACTCAACTATCTAATTAATTAATTCAAATTAGATACATCTAACTCTATCGAAACGATCTCTGATAAATTCTTCTCAATTCTAATTAAAGTTTATTAAAAGATTATTCAACTGGAAACATATTTGAACTCTAACGCAAACTGGTTAAAAGAAAAATATTTCATTAATATTGTTTAAGAATATAAAATAAAGAAGAAAGGAAGGGAAGGAAAAGGAGGATAAAGATGTGTAGAAAAGAATAATAGTGTAATTGTATGTATATGGTATTTATATATATATATATATATATGTGTGTGTATGTATGTATATGAAAAGAGGAATCGAATAAGAGGTGACTTTCACTGTGCACACGCGTTAAGTGCTCGCGGAAGTGTCGTCCGATCTACCTACACCAAACTCTTTATTCGGAAACAAAAAAAAAATATAAAAAAAAAAATCAAGAACAGCCAGAGGAGTGAGTGTGTGTGAGAGAGAGAGAGAGAGAAGGCTTTCTGAAAACGTTATAAATCCTTTGGACGGGCACGAAACACGACCTCGTTTCATACACCACGACAGACACCGCCTTCCTTCTCAATTTCTTTCCAGATCCTAAACCTCAATGGCTAGCACGCGACGTTATTCACAAACTATAGGGTTAACGCATTATTATACTGGGGCATCACTATACACACTATGGCTAACTGTATACCTGATACAACACCCACCCACTTTTCAAATGCTTGCCAAATTTTTTCCTTTTCTTTTCTTTTGTAATCTCTTTTTCTTTGTCCCTTTTTTTTTTATATACAACCTTTTTTTTAACCCGTTATTCACAAATATGCATAGTTTTTTTTTACAAAAAAATAAATCTTTTTTTTTATATATTATTACTTATAATTTTCGTGTCACGTTTAGCATGTGTTTAAAAAGATTAGAAATTATTTATTGAAATATAATTTGTAAAATATAATAATAATAATAATACGATTATAATAACGTTGTTAGTAATATATATATATATATCGATAAATTTCGAGAGACTTTAATGCACCTACAGAAAAGTACCATTTATGAATTAATGAATATAAATTTTCCTTTCAATCTTATCCAAAGAAATCCTATCCAAAAGTATAGAATATTTGTTTGTTATTCTATTAAAAAATTAATTTAACAAAACTTATACCATGATTTTAGATAAATTATTGTTCAGTTAGTATTATTTATTCAGGGGTGGGGCGGGGTTGTTTTAGGGGATCAGTGATTTGATACAGATTTACCCTATTGGTTTGTAGCTACTGTTATTTTTCTTTTTTCTTTTCTTTTCTTTTCTTTTGATTTTTTTTTTTTTTTTTCTTTCGGGTTTAGTAGGTTAGTTGGCCCGAGTCAACTTCCTTCGTTAGAGGAACCGTTACGTCCTACAACACCCGCCTGCCCTTCCATTGTAACCGGTTGCCTTGTCTCTTATTGTTACCGGTTCTCTCTCTCTTTCTCTCTTTCTTATGGCGAGACGGTCTTTCGCTTTACGACGAGCAAGCCGATTCGTAATCGAGCCAAACGACCGTCTGGGACCGTCCTTTACCTTCCCGTTTACGATCTCTTTCTTCTTCGAGGAAGTCAAAACGATTTTCGTTTCAAAACCATACGGCAAATATTATAATTCACCCATAACAAAAAAAAAAAAAAAGAAAAGAAAAAGAAATGTTTCCTTTATCCTCCCATTCGTCATTGTTAAATTTGCTCATTTTGTTTTTCTTTTTTTTAAATATTTCTTCGTCAAATTTAAACTTAAATGTTTTATTTAAGTTCATTGATTTATTATTAG